ACAAAACCATAGCTTTGCATGTAAACCCAATAGCCCAAAAATAAAACTATTTCGGTATCTTCTCGGCAAACTTAGAGATCGACTTTGTTATTGTTTTGGTAAATTCTCAGCCAGGACACGACAGCGGCAACAGCTGATCGAGGGACGGATCTATTACCTTTTTTTGTTGAGGTTTCTGTCACGTCTTTGGGACTTTGGAGGCGGTTCCTCTAACTTTTTTTTCCCTTTTAATTATTGAAGAGGACCGGGAACTACAACAACCATGGATGATGCACCGGTGATTTACGGTTTAGAAGATTTCCAGGTGTGTTTCCATTTGATAAAGCAATGACAGGACTCCTCAGATCCGTGTTGCGCGTTATATTGAATAGTAAAGGCAGTATTTTGCCATTTGGTCCCATATTCTTATCCAGGAAGGTCACCCTCATCTCCTGAAGAAGTTTTGTGTTAGGACACTTCCTTTATAGGCTAATGTATTCTCCGCTTGTCTTAAAACCTTTAAATTAGATTGAATTCCAGTCTATTTTACAATGAAGTTGATATACTCCTTATTCTCCTTACATGTGATGAACTTTTTGCAATAGTTAAGACATGGAAATCCGTTGAGCTGATGGAAACACATGGCATTCTCTGTCTCTTTGCAGAAGTACAGGCAGGAACATCCTTCTTGATCTCTTTAGCTATATCTATAACATAGATAATTTGTCTACCACTTGAAAATGCAGCACAAATGGGTTTAGCACAGGACCTAAATGATACCATTTTTTTGTAGACTTTATGGCATCTTTAACAGTCTTCCTGTGTAATTCATCATGAATTACCCCATTGAAAAGTTAAGAGTAAGCAACTATGTAGATAAAGGATATAACTTTTTTCAAGGAAAGCAAAAATATGGCACAAAATGTTTTTCATGATCTAAGAGTTAGGTACTCTATTAAGAAAATCAATATCTTATGTGCTACTTAATATACTTGTGCATTATTTTTGAAAACTCAGCAGCGAACAAAGAGATCTATGTAACACTACTTCCAGTAATAATGATACCATCATTCAGTTATTTGATTAGGGGGAATATTTTCTCTAAAGATTTGGTGGTTTTGTAACCAAACCATATATCCAAACCTGATAAAATCTTAATTTTTCTAAGTTGTAAGATTGATTCCCAGGTAATCTTTATATGGTGGTAATTACACATATATTTCATTGTGTCACTATGAATCCTGGGATACCATTATACAGAAGAGGTTTGATAACCTCTTAACTGAGTAATGACTTGTCACCAAGCAGGTGTAATTATACAGACATATAGTTAAAGATGAATTTTGTATTTTTCATCAGTTTTATGAAGGAAGTTCAGTTCACACTTACTAGTTTTTTATTGTTTGAATGTATTTTCAGGCCCGAGCTCTAGCAGCACACACAGCTGAGACAGAGAAGATAAATTTCCTTGTTGGAACTCAGTCTCTCAGAAGAACAAATCAGGTAAAGTGAATGAATACTACTCATTCTGGGTTTACCAAGGATGCTGAATTGATTATTTTTACTATTATATTAACTTTTGTAGCTGATGTTTTTTTGTAATATCTAAAACTGATTAATCCATATGCTTAGTACATGTAACTGTGACTAATATATCCTTATCTGAAAGGATAAACCTATGGAAGACTCTATAAGTCAGGAAGGAAATAAATTCTAGTTGGACAAAGATTTTTATTGTTGTTCATGTATGATATTGATATCCAGTATCAACTAGCCTATAAAGGTTTTGAAAAGCTTTCTCTTCTGTGTATCTTTATTTTTAGCTGTAATATCCCTTTAACTGTCTTTATAGATACTGTCTATTAGTACTCATATATTTTCATTCATTTCTACTCTGGTAATAATGTTAACCTATCAGAAATCTTTTCTCTGTTGATGTATGTACTTGTATCCTTAACTGTATATCAATGTATTTATGTATGTCTATATTTTATCTGTTTCATAGTGTGTAATATATACCCATTTATTTATTTCTGTCCTTCAAAATCAAAAGCTCTCACTCAAATGGTAAAGTCATCTTTTGACATAATATGCCCAACATTTGAAAAAGTACATGTGTTGTAATTTATACTTGTTTATATATTCAAGTGTGCCTGATTTGGTGAATCACATAGGAAATAGTATTACGTATTGTGTGTAGAATACAACATAAATTTTGGTCAGTGCTCAGAGGAGGGCTGTCTTCAAACTCAGTATTGATTATAGCCAGCAATCTTATATAATGACAAAACAGTTATCTGGAACAGCATTTTTTCTGTAACATGCAGAAGTGACTATAATTGATAGTATTCATCATAGCTTTCTGCATGTTTAGCCATTCAAATAATATTGTTTCCTATATTTTTCATGAAGTCTAGATTGCCAGGGTATGATAATCTGACTTGGAGGCTAGTATTCTAAGATTTTAGTTTTGGTTAGATCCAGCAATATTTATTCAGAAACATACTGTGTACAATATTTTGGGGAATTGAATATTGCTTGATCACATTTACACATCTCATTTTAGCATTATTTCTCAGGTTCAGCTGATTGAGTTTGATGATGACACAAGTCTGGTCACAAAGCAGACTTTTGAACATCCAGCTGGAGAAGTCTGGCGGATTTGTGCAGCACCACAGAGTGTTAATCTTATTGCAACAGTGTATAACAATAGTAAGTTATTCATTTGTATGGTTTTCCTTATATTTGTGGCAAGTATTTTTTGTGCAAATAATCAGTATTCAGGTAGTTATTGTTTTTTCATTCTTTTGTGCATAATATTTTCATAGCCCATGTGAGATTCAGAATTCAGTTCTTTTTGACAACTGCATCAGTTCATCAGATTCTGTACATTATGGCAAATAAAATATCAAATGCAGTTTGTTTAATGGTATTATTGTCAGAACTACAAGTAATGGTATAATTATTAGAACTACAAGTTATAGTATTATTATCAGAACTACTATGTAGTGGTATCAAGTACAAACACATTAAGAAAGATAATAAATCATTGGTAGAATCTGTTAATAAAAATGGTTGGATAGGTTGACATTCAGAATACAGCAATACAGGAAGACAAGGGTAAAAATGATTTGCAGCGAAAATTTTCAGTGACCTGGTTATTTATTTATTTTTTAAAATTGTGCTGAATAAGCAAAGATATTGATAAGGAGAATTAGAATTTTACATAAATGTGCAAATTCTGTTCATATATTGAATGATCCAGCTTTTGTTAGTGAATGCTAGATTATTTTCAGTAACTCTCTGTTATCATTCAGTATTCATTAGTATTCTTGAATTTCCAGCCCAGGATTACTGTGGAGAGTTCGGTGCTGCCATTTGGAGACTCCCCCTTGAAGGCTCAACCTCTGGTGTCCTTGATGATACAAGGTACATGCTTTTAAAAATGTTGACTTATGTCAGCTCCTAAATATATGTTTTGGTAGATAGTGTGCAGAAGTGTCAAATATTGAATTGAGAATATTTGATTTGTTTTAAAACCCGAGAAAAAAAAACGAGAAAAATGTAAGACATCTCTCTGTTATAAGAAAAAAAAAATTGACAGGTGACTATTATGCCTTCCTTTTTTTTATTGCAATAGGGGAAGTGGAGAGCAAGTTGAGAAAGTGTGCAGCTTGGATGGAGCATCGGCCAGTGACCCTCAGGCACCAGGGTCTCCTGTGCCAGGCCTGGGCTCACAGATGTGGTCTGTGGTCTGGGCTCCAGAAGATGATGCACGTCTAGTCACCCTTGTTGATAACCATCTCTACTATTGGGATGTTCAGGCAGCGGGGAAGTCTGCTAAGGTAGTGCAGGAGCATTTCTCTTTTAGAAATATATGCTTACTTATGACAGAGCCAAACAAATATATGTACCATATACCATAAGGATATGTACAGTTCTAAAGAATTTTGCTTTCATTTTTTAATCTATATGTTCATATATAGATTGAAAAGTACAAATGATGGCTAACAGGATTATTTAAACTAATACCCCTGGGATAGCATGTTTGTAAATACTATGCCCACTGTGAGTTTAATTTATTAATTGTATTTACACAGATGGCTCCACAAGTGCTTAGTCACCCAGGGAGTCAATTAGTAATTCTACTTATCCTACCAGTTTATCCTTTCCTTGAATTTTGGAAATATTCATTCATTATTTATACTGCTATTAATGTTATTAATAACATTGTAATGATTATAATGTCAATTATAATAATAGCAGCATCAATATTAATAGCATTAGAAAAACACATTTTCCCAAAAGCCTACTGTTGCCTCCTTGGTGGTTTATTACTTGTGTTGCCATTTTTGTATAAATACATTTCTTAAAACACTGGGTTAAAGGGGGTAATATTTTTATTGAATTAATGATGATAATATATATTTATTTATTAACTGCTTTTTATTTTAGGTAGTTGGGGAAGTGACCGTGGAAGGCAGAGGGAGTGTAAGTCTGGGGTCTGGCCGGTGGTATCCTCACCAACAAGGTTCTCAGGTTGCTGCTACTCATGGGTCCTCTGTGAGGGCATGGGATCTAAGGTCAATGAAATCCTCTTGGTGTGTTGAAGGAGCGCATATGCAGTTAGTTAGGTATGTATGTGTATTCTGAAAGGAACTTCATGGTAATAACTTTCTACAGAATATATTCATTTGAAATTATCTCTTATAAACACATTTACATACATCTGTTCTTTTATAAAATCAATCATTTGTATGTTCTTTTCAAATAATAGTCACTTGGTTACTCACTTAAATTTTGCTCATTCAGATTACACTCCTTTAAAGAAAACATATATACCTCTACAGATTGTAATAATTTGACATCATTTCAGAGACCTTGATTTTAATCCTAACATGCAGTATTACTTGGCCACATGTGGTGATGACTGCAAAACAAAGTTCTGGGATATCAGGAACACAGAGCAACCTCTCAAGGAACTGAGTGATCATTCTCACTGGTAAGGTGCATTATCACTATCCTACATTAAATAGGTGAGAACATAAACTTCAGTGATTTTCTTTGTGAACAGGAAATACAAGCAGTGTCTGTTGTTTCCAGGGTGTGGAGTGTGCGATACAATGCGTCGTATGACCAGTTGGTGTTAACCTGTTCCAGCGACCAGCGGGTAATTCTCTCAAACTTGCCGTCCATTGCCTCACAGCCTTTTGGTACCATGGTTGATCAAGAGGAGAGTAAAGAGGAGAAAGAAAAGTGAGTTGCATTTGTACTGAGTTGTATTGAAATACTGATGTGTGTATTTGAGGGACTGCTCAGAATAGTAAATATATATCTGTACTCGAGCTGTTAACATTGGATGTGTGCACACCTTCATTAGTTCCATTTTGTAATATCATTTTCTTTTTTCTTTGCTGCTGTTTTGGTGCCTCTGCTAACCATTTCCCTTATGCTCATCAGCTTGTATAGACCTTTATTTTGATTTATTCCTCCATTTCTTTTGTAGGCATTTAGACAATTGTATGTGGTATTATTTTTTTTTACTGTGTTTAGCTGTATATCTTTGCCATTTTAGCATATTTTAGTTTCATGTCTTTCTTGTGTAATTGTTTTCTAGTCTACTCAAATGAAAGTAATGATGATGATCATCATGAAAATGATAATATTGATAAGAAATTATGAAGATGATGATGATAATAGTGATAGTAATAATAGTATGAAAAATGGTGATGATATCAATTATGATAGTGATAGTTATAGTAATGATGATGATGATGATGATGTAAAGATGTGGGGTCAAGCAGGGCTATGAATTGACTCCTTGGTGGCTATCAATGTCAGTGGGTTAACTCATTTAGAAATTCACGTTGAAATGCATTATTTGACTATACTCAGTGTCAGATGTCATGCCTATATGGTGAGGTGATCTATAGAGAAAAACAAACAGAATCCATTACTGATTGTGTTATATTGCTTTTACAGGGCTGAAGGAGCTGAGGAAGGAGTCATCCAAACTTATGATGATCATGAGGACTCTGTGTATGCAGTGGAATGGTCTGCTGCAGATTTCTGGACATTTGCCTCTCTTAGCTATGATGGCCGTCTTGTAATTAACAAAGTACCGAGAAGCGTGAAGTATAAACAGTTTATGTAATTAGCTGAAGGTTGATACTATATTGAAAAATCATTCCAATAAAAAGAAAATCTAATGGATTGAAATTGTGCAAGATTAAGGTAAGTTTATTGTTTATATGTGTGTAGTAATATATTATGCAGAATATTGCATATAAGAATATATATATATAGGAAAAAGGTCATATTTGTGTGTAAAAAGTTGCCGTTGATGCAATTTTTAAAAATTATAGCACAATAAAAAAGTATAATTTTCTTTAATGATTTTAAGTAAGTGTCAGAATGATAATATTCTGCAACTACAGATATTTAATAAAATTTATCAGTAAAGTTTTACTTCTTTCTGTATACCTTGAAATTAAATTATTTTCAAGAGATATGAGAGGGGAAGATTCTAAACTTCTCACTTTGTTATTGTTTGTGCCAAGAATAGACATCCTGATATGTTTTATTCATCTACACTTCTGTTTTAAAATACACAAAACTATCTGATGTACCAGTGGCATCTGATGGTTGCTAAGGGAACTATAAGTCAACAGTATGTGCTCGAATTTACCTTTAGCTGCATGAAAGCATACTTTGCATAATTTTGAAAATTGGTACAGATATATATATATGAAATGGAAAGAATGGAAAGTTGAGGGCAGTGGCAATATAATAGATTTTACCAAAACTTCTACGTTTCCTTTTTGTCACATTTTGACCCTCCCTTGTGTACTCTCATGAGTTCATAAGTGTATCTTTAGAATGCTATGGTTCAGCAGTTCTTTTGTTGTCTAATAATATAAGATGTAGATTTGCTTGCCATATTGCCAAACCCCTGGGTTGAGGGATTTGGAGATTAGAAATTATGTTTGGACCATGTTTTGATAGGTTTAAATTTAAAGATTAAAAAAGCATTCACCTACTAAAAAGCAATGAATAAAAAAAAAGTTTGTTTTGTGTCAATTTTAGATCCTCCAAGGAATAAAGGGTTAAGTAATGTCTATTGGTTCAGTAAACTATTAATTGGAAACATTATTGGGATGTTGTTAGTGTTAAGAAAGTGCCTTTTAGGTAGATTTGTTCTATGTATGACTAAGCCTCATTTTAGGTAGACTGCCTGTATTGAAGGGAGGTTGGAGATACTGAAATTGCATTAAGGCCTGTTTTTGTTGGTATACACCTGAACATTTATTATGTGAATGTTATTTAAGAAGTACACAGAGGAAGAAAACTAGCAACTATCATTTACATATAATAAAAGCTTGTAGTGGTTTATCAAAAATATATAACATCTTATTATATTAAGATGCCCAAATGACATTTCTGTTTTTAGGTATTGCTGATCATACATGAGAATGGCAAGTCGATATCCAGACATACAGTGATTGTCATTTGATTCATATTTTACAAACGGCTCTCAAGCTTCTGAACATCATCTGTGTATTTTAGAGATAGATATCACTGGCTTACTATTGTTTTTTTTTTCTTCTAATATTGTTGGATTTCAGGCAGATAACTTGCAATTGAATTGGGCTTTAGTAGAAATTCAAGTGTTTGCTTTGGAAGTCATGAAAATTTATGTTAATTGTGTTATATTTTATAATATTTGCCATAAAATGTGCTATTAAGAGTTTTTGATTGTTAACAAAAGAAGAGAGAAGAAGGGAAAACAGGTAAGGAGACAGAAGAGAAGAGGGGAGAGACAGGAGAGAGGAAGAGGAAGGAGAGGAGTAAGAGAAAAGGAGAGATAAAAGATGAGATAAGAGAAGGGGATGAAGAGGACAAAGAGGAGAGAAGAGAGAGGAGAGGAGATGGGAGAGGGGAGAGGGAAGAGGAGAGGAGAGAGAAGGGGAGAGGGGAGAGGGGAGATGAGAGAGAAGAGCAGATGAGAGAGAAGAGAAGAGGAGAGGAGAGGAGAAAAGAGAAGAAAAGAGAAGGAAGAGAACAGAAGAGAAGAGAAGAGAGAAGAGAGGAGACTAAATATTTACTGAATATTTTTTTTTTCTTTTGATATCTATACATAATTTCTTCTGTAATTGCAGATATGATATATCAAATAAAGAGGAAGTGAAAAAAAGAAATAACAAAGTAAGAAATTAGTATCTGTAAAGAAGTAAGCCATGGAGAAGTATATGTTAGAACTGGCCATTACCTGTGAGACAAGTTTGTAGCAATGTACCTTCAAGTTCAATTTAGAAACTCTGTTAATTTCCACCATATTTGTTTAATAATACTTTAGCCATGCTAACACACATGCAAGGAAGACACACCATAACAACACTTCAAAATATTTATTATGCATTAATAGTTTATGCTTTTTGTACACACAAAAGTCACAATGGGTAAGTGTTTTCACATATTAATCATGTAAAAGTAAGTTTGTTGACAATTAATATCTGATCTGTTGTCATCAGATACACTGATATCTATGATCTTAGTGAGGCAGTCTAAAAACAACAATAACAACAAGTACATGAAGCATTGATGTAACAGGATGTCAATTTGCAGCACCTTGTGTCCAGACAGTTAGTAGAGATGAAATGTCCTCTTCAAAATCATGAACACTTTACTGCTGTTACTAGTTTACAGGTATTAGAAAGGCCTGTTTTTGTCTCAGCTGACTGCAGTGAGTTCTATTTTATACAGTTTTTGCTTCCTAGTAGGTGATGTGTTATACCACATGAGATCAGTGACATTACATGGTAAGACAAGACATACTTGCCTCAGCATCCTGCATTTATATTGAAGCCCAGCAGATAAAATCACTGAATATGGTAATTCATAACAATGGTACCTACTTCCTGGGTTTAGGACAGTGTCTTTTACCCTCATAATTCAGAAATTATACAGGTATTTTTTGTTGTTACTCATACACCAAGGCTGTTAGAACTATGATAATCCTTTATAGAAACCAGTCAATTTGGCTAAAAGCTCAATGCTAATCATGAGATATGTATATATGTTAGAGACAATTTCAGCAATATGACTTTTACTGGTGTTGGTTAAAATTAACTATCAACTTCTGTGCTGTTATACTGTAATGGACAAATATACATAATGTACACTTTACTTTCCCCTTTGATAAAGGTAAATACAATGTACTTGGTTTCTCTAATATAGAGGAACTCAATAATTTACTAAACCACAATTTTATCATAAGACTGTAACAATAATTATGAACCTGATCATAATGATAATAATGATAAAATAATAATAATAATGATAATAACAATAATAGTAATAATAATAATATCAATTAATAATACTAATAACAATAATAATTATAATGATAATAAGTAATGGTATTATTATTGATAACAACAGACAACAAAAATGAACTCAAAAAGAGTTTAAAATGTTCAAATATAGAATGAACCTCTTTCAATGTTGCATTACTAATCCCTTTAGAAGCTGAATCCCTTTCTTTCAATTTATTGCAAGCAGCCTAAGCTCATGTATTGTTTATGTAGTATGCCATGAAAACAAATGTTTAGTACTAAAAGGGTCTATAGAAAGTTGTTACTTATGGCTTCTCAGTGTATGATGATAATGAAGATAATAATAAAAATAGTATTAAAAATAATGATCATGATGATGATGATGATGATAATAATAATAATAATAATAATAATAACTAATAATAATAACTAATATTATAATAATTAGCATTAGCATTAGTCATAGTAATATTAATATAATAATAATAATAATAATAATATTTTTGTAACAAATAAATAGTATTCAATTCTAAATTTCAACAAATATTTTCATGTGCTTTAGAAAGTCAGGTAACATCTTCCAGGCTATCTTAAACCGAGTGACTGGCATAAATAAACTAATATTAGGGATATAGCATGCTCTTTGTTTGTAAGTGGCACAAAATTTGAAATAAACAGGTACAACTCATTCAGGACTACATTACTCAAATTTATTGAAGCTTTATTGATACAACAAAAGTTGGTTATTTACTGTACAATTTCATCAACTTCTTTCCTTGTGCAAATACATTATTAACTCCATATAATTATGCAGCAATCCTTGTACTTTATTTTCAACAGATGCTGTTTTTATGGGATGTAAATCATATTCTCTGTTCTGTTATAAGTCTACCTATCATGCAAAACCAAAGAGGCTCAACCTATGTCAGCTGATTATTTTAGAATATATTGTACACTCTGAATTATCCCTAAGATAAATTATTCCAATACATGATGTTTGTTTATGGACCCATCCATTTTGCTGAAAAATTTGGAACATCATTTTCCAGCACAGTGATTCAATAAATATATGTAAACTGTACACTTTACAAACCTGGCTTTGGACACCACTGGTAGGTACTGGAGTGTTAGGGCATAGAAAAGAGGAACAAATAATAACAGCAACTTAATTTATAAAAGAAACATCATGGGGGGAAAAAGTGTGTATGTATGTATATATATATATATATATATATATATATATATATATATATATATATATATATATATATATATATATATATATATATATATATCTTAAAGCATCTTGTTTCCATCATGCCTCGAAATAAAACCAAGAATTAATGGATAGATATCTGATTTAAAAATTCATGGTTATTTCTTGTGAAAGGAGTGTCCTTATTCATGTGAGAAAAACAACTATAAAATCCACATTCTGCTATGAAATAGCATTTGTGTAAAACATCAGTCTGAGAAACCTCTGTTGGTAATTTAGAGTCCATATTTTTTTTCTCCAAAATTGTTAATCTTCACTCAGCATTTTTTCATTGTTTACTAGATTCAGCGATAGGTGAGTCATATATATAAGTCCTATGTTCAGAGTCTAACATGTGAACCAGTTTCAAGAAATGATCAACAAGCCTTGGTGTACGAGGCCATTGCTAGTGATTTCTCAGATGAAATGTCTCTATCCATCCCTGCACCTGTGCATTATCTGTATGCAATGTACAAATTAGGAAAAGCCATTCCACAAAGTTATGTGTTTCAACTTACAGAGTAACATTAGTTGGGTAGTTGAGTTACATCATCTGCACCCACATATGTGTGTTTGTGTCTATGATAAATTGCAATGTGTGCTTTGAAGCTGATTTTATTACATAAAACATCAAAACTTTTTTATGTAAATATTGCTAGTTTATACTCATAACCTGAGTAAATTAGAAATATGATAAGAAAATAATTTTCTTAAAACTCTGCACAGCTGTAAATACCACATTTATACCAACACAGTAAGGCTGGTATTGTATAAAAAAGCAAACCCTGCTTGTAAGCTTTCACTTCCAGTTACTGTACTGTCCCAGTATTCTGTATTCTTAGTTCTTTTATCCCAACATTATCATTCAGCAG